CATTCCTGGTGACATTTTACAAGTCACCTATTCAAGGACTTGAAGCACTTGGCCTTGTGGGACCCAGCTGCCTTAATTACCACACCATGGGGTGATCCAACAAGGGTATATTGTAATGTTATCCAGAAGGTTAGAAATTGCTGATTGTAGATTGCACGGTTGTTCGGCTTGTAATGCTTTGGATATAGTTTTTAACAAATTATAGTAAAATACTGGTTGGGTTCGGTAACGTCACAGTTAACTATATTTATGTATTTATTTAAATTTGACCAGAGAGGAACAGAGAGTGAGAGTCAGAGAGAGAGAAAGTGAAAGTGAGAAAGCTAGTCACCAGGTCCAGGACTCGAACCATGGTCGGCCATGTGGGAGTCCAGCATCCTCAACCAGCATGCCACTTGCTGGTCGATGGATTTTCCTATCTAATCAGAATATTTTAAAGATGTAAACAAGTATTAGAGATACCACTCTCAAATTATATGGCCTCTCTTTTACTGTTCAAATATTTAGATTTGTGGTATTTTGTCTGAATCATACTTATCATGTTGTATATAATCAATAACGTTACAGTATTTTTAGAACATTTAGTTTTAAGTTTTATGGACATGAGCTGAGTGGGTTATAAATAAAAGTCTTTCGTTGACAGTCTCCCATACACCTTCTATCATGAGGCATGGCTTTTAAACCCTAGTAGTTAAGCAACACTCTCCAATCTGGAAGGAGCCAAAACAAAATACTTTAAACTAGGTTTGAATTTGCAGTGTGACAGTGGCCTCTTCAACACTCTGTATGAGCTGGGCTAACCAAGACTTGTCTTGTGTTGGTGGACAATCCGAGTAACACCGCCCTTGTGGTTTAGAAAAGAAGTCCAGGGACCAGCAATTAGCATAATGGCTATGTTGCTGGACTCCCACGTAGTCGACCTCGGTTCGCGTCCCGGACCTGGTGGCTTAAAACTCATGCCAGGCGCGTGTGCGTGCGTGCCCAAGATCCGGAGAGGAGAATGGAGGAGAAGGGATTGCGGCATGGCCATCCCTCCTGGGGGGTGATTTCTTGCTTTCTGTCTCTATGTCTCTCTCTGTCTGTCTGGCGAGCGCACGCGCCCTATAGCAAAAACCTCTAAAAATAAAATAGTGATACAAACTTACTGGAAGGCAACAGCCTCGAAGTCTCTGTTCTGGTTATGTGTCTCAGTTAACTTTGGAAGCCTGGTAAGTGTCCCATTCAGACTCTGAGAAGTGTATGATTTTTAGAAAAATTTGCAAAAAAAACATCTGGCTTACAAGTTCTTTACAGTGACAACAGCTTAACTTATCAAGAGTTCAGTGTGGTGTAGAGCAGGGGTCAGCAGACTTTCTGTGAAGTAATAATTGCGGGTCGTGTGGTCTTTCGTGTGGTCTTTGTGTGGACTGCTCAGCTCAGCCATTGCCGCGTGAAAGCAGCCGTACATAAACAGTACGTGAATGAAGGAGCATGACTGTGTTTAAAATCTTACTTTCAGACACTGACATTTGAATTTCATGTGACACGTGTCAGGAAATATTCTTGATCTTCATTGTTTTATTATTAATATATTTTTAAAAATGTGACCAGAGTGTGACAGAGAGAGAAAAAGGGAAAGCAAGAAAGCACCTTAACGACTACATCACCTGCTGGCCCCACTTTTGATTTTTTTCACCCGTAAAATGTAAAAACCGGGGCTGGCAGGTGGTGTGGTAGTTAAGGGTGCTGGATTCCCACCTGGCCGACTGCAGTTTGAGTCGCAGACCTGGTGGCTTGCTTTCTCACTTTCCCTCTCTCTCTCTCTTTGATTGTGTCTCTCTGGTCAAATTAAAATAAATAAATAAGGGGCCAGCAGGTGGTGTGGTGGTTAAGGCACTGGACTCCCACATGATTGACCATGGTTTGAATCCTGGACCTGGTGGCTTGCTTTCTCACTTTCCCTCTCTCTCTCTCTTTGATTGTGTCTCTCTGGTCAAATTAATGATAATAAATAAAATTTTAAAATAAATAAAGTTAAATAAAATAATTCTTTAAAAACATAATGTAAAAGCCACTTTTAGCTGTGGGCTATACAAAAATGGGCAACTATCTGGATTTGGTTTGCCGGCCACAGTTTGCCAACCTCTGACTTAAAGCACACAAATTATACCCTGTTCTTAGTGTTCTGTTTGTCAAAAGTTTTAAGTAATTTTATCACAAAATGAAGCCAGGGTCTTAGACTTGTTGAAGTAGTTCTTATATAGTGAGTTATGGTGACAGTGTAGACCAGATGAAGGTCAACTTAAAGATTATGAGGTGGGCTTCCTTTTCTAGCCAGTCAAAGATTTAGATGCTGGGCCAGCAGGTTAAAGTGCTGGATAGATAGCACGTGGCCGAGTATGCGATTTGGGTCCAGGACCTGGCGGCTTGAATCATGCTGGGCACATGAGAATAGAGAAGAGATTGTGGCGTGGCCATCCCCCCTTGGGGGTGATTTCTCACTTTCTCTCTCTCTGTCTACAGTGAGCACATGTACCTTATATCAAATTAAAAAACAAACAAAAAACACATTTAGCTGTCGAGATTGCACTTCTGTGGTTGTCACTCCCATCTTCAGCAGTTCCCTGTTGCTTTCTATCGTTACGCCTGTCATGTTTTTTTCTCTTGTCCCCAGAGATCGTCTGTTTTTCTTTGCAACCTACTGATCTCTTCCCTTTATGCTGTCCTGGCTCCATTGTGCCAGCCCCTGCTTCTTCTCCGGTAGCCTGCTCATCCATTGACTTCTTCTCTTGAAATATCAAGAGATATCGATAGGGAATGATGACATGTACTCTAAGAGATTCCTCAGTATTCCACCATTTTCCATTCTACTTTTTAAATTTATTTTTGTTTTTAATTACCAGAGAATGCATGTACTCGTCGGAGAGATCCAGAGAGATGAAGAGAGTGAGAAATCGCCCCCCGGTGGGATGTGGCCATGCTGCAGTCCCCTCTTTGCCACCTCCGTCTGTTGGAGTTCTGGACACACACACACACACACGCACATGCGCTCAGTGTGTCTCTCAAGCCAGTGGGCCAGGATTCGGACTGTAGTTAGCTAAGTGGGATCCAGCTCCCTTAACCACCAGGCTACAGGGCTAGCCTCACCATTCTGCTTTTTATCTATGTTCTTTATACTGTTTTTTAAGAAGAAAAATAGCTTTCAAACTTAAAAAAAAAAAAAGATTTTAAGTTATTTCTTCCTTGAGCAAGAGAATCGGAGACAGAGAGAGAGGGAGAGGAAATGCAGTAGCATTTCCAATAGGATCTTGATGCCGCGGATCTGTCTCCAGCCCTGGATCATGGGCGTGTGCTTGACTGGTATACTCAGGAAGGTCTCTGGACTTGAACTTGGGATCAGTCTTCCTGTGTGGAGCTGCTGCACATTTTACTGCTGCACCACTGCATGGCTCTTGTCGTTAGATACTGTTTTAGAGAAAAAGATACAATGAGTTTATCTAAAGAGGAGTTCTTTTTCATTTCTGTTGCCTGTAGCTAGCATGCCTTTAGTAGCAAATACTGAAAATCTTTTAAATACTATTGCTTTTCCAGACCAGAAATGGAGGTACAAGTGGTTCAATGGGGCATATGCCATACATGAGATTAATTAATATAATCCTCTTTTCGTGATAAGCCTCTTTGAGATAGTTGATAGAATTTAGGGCAAAAAGACCTATTTGGGAAGGAGGAGGCTATTACGGCATTGCCATTAGATAGTGCACAGTCGTTTTCTAAAACTCTTGAAAGGGAGAAAGACATGTGCTGTCAATATGATCTTCTCCATTTCTAGCCTAAAGTAACTGATTGAGCTACAGGAAAAAAAGATAAAAGAAGTAGACTCTAATTTTGAGGTTATAACTCTGATTACAGATTTGTCTAGTGTATGAGGGGAATACCTGAAAGAAAATTTTGGTTCTTTCATTGATAAATTGCAGACTGTCTTTGTGTCTATAGGGATAGCTGTCTATCTTTATTTTGGTTTCAATTTTGTTTGAGAGAGACAAAGTACCTCCCACTGGGGATGATCACATTGCAATCCCTTCTCTATTCTCTTTTTGGGATTTTTTGGGGCACACATGCACATATGCCCTGTGCGTTTTTCAAGCTGCTGGATCCGGGACTTGAACCATGCAGTCGACAGTGTGGGATCCAGCTGCCTCAACTACCGTGCCACTACCTGGCTCACTATCTATTTTTAATGAATTCCTGATTATAAGTATCATAAACAAATAAGCAGTAATAAATTTTATGCTTGGGAGTTCATGAATCCGATGAAGGCAAAGAGGCTTGTGGAGTTGCTACAGTTTACAAAAAAGATGAATAGTATGTTATGAAAAGGGAAAAGGGAGGTGAATCTGTAGTCTTTGATTATATTATGTCCCCTCAGATTTCCATCTCTTCCTAAAAAGAGCTAGATATTTCCAGATCTGCCAGTTATTTTTTTCACTTACACAGCAAGCTGGATTCCTCTGACCTGGCTGCTTTGCAGCTGTTCTCATTTGTACTGTGCATCACACTTTTTCAGCATGGATATAAAAGCTTCAAATTCTGTGTCTGTTAGCAGAGTTCCAGACTCAGTGGTGCCATTGTTGTAAAGTTTTTTCAGAGAAGCAGGTTTAGGATGGTAACTTGACCAACTTGGGAAAGATGTACTTTCCCTTTAAATCTCTTTACTCTTTTATATGTTTTAAATTTGTTCACTTTTCCTTTTCCTACCTAACTTTTTGTGCCTTGTTGAAATTTTCCATTTTTTTAAGGATTATTTATTATTATTTTTATTATTTTTCTATTTTGACCAGAGAGAGAGAGAGAGAGAGAGAGAGAGAGAAAGCCTCCAGGTCCAGGATTTGAACCATGGTTGGCCATGTGGGAGTCTAGCACCTTTAACCACCATGCCACCTGCTGACCCTGCAATTTTCCATTTCTTAGCATTGTCTGGTGTCTATCGATTGGGCAATGAGGGTGGGGTAGAAAAGTATGGCAACACATCTTTATTAGGTGACGTGGACACATGGTTCTTTTAAAGTCAAGAGGTATGACAATGTCCTTTACTTCCTCATTTCCCCCTTCAAGTCTTTTTAAAACTAATTTCCCTCAGGTTCGTCCTTAGTTGCCCTAAGCAAATTATAAGTGGAACTGAAGACTGCTCCATTTTACCTCTGCCAATGTTCATCTTTTCCCAAAGTACATTCTTCCTGTTCTTTATTGGAATAAGGCTGTGTCATATATTTCTAGGGGAGGAAATTTGGTTCATTAAATCACGGGGGTGGGTGTGGGTGTGGGGAGGGAATGAACCAGGCAATTGAATTAGTTCATTTCTGGATTTGGACATAATTTATTATCAGAATGGGAGAGAAAGCAACAGAATAAGTTCGTCCTTTGGGTGGGTAGTTTTTACTCTTTGATTTGATAGACCTGTTCAGCTGGAAAAGTAGAGTAAACAGTTCTGAAATTTATAATAGTTAAAAGACAGTATTGGATTACAGACTGGGAAATCCTTAGAACAACAAACAAGAAAGAGTAAGGATGGAAATCAAGGAAAAACTTGTTTATGAGGAGAAGCAAGGGGAATTTTCTCCTGAATATATGAACCTTTACAAATGTTTTGGTCACTAGGAAGTTTGAATGTTTCCTGGTGTTTAAAGGTTTTCTTTTCTACTTTTTATCCTGACAAATAGGGGAAGATGACTCTTGGTGGGCAAGAAGATCCTTGTACAACCTAGGTGCTCCATGAATATCTTTCATGTGTGTGTGTGTGTGTGTGTGTGTGTATGTGTGTGTGTGTGTAAGTTATTCTAGGATAAGGACTAATTTTTCATATATATCCATTTATCCTTGACAAATCCCGGAATAGGAAAGTGCTTAGAGTGCCCGACACTTAAGTGTTATTTGAGATGATTCATCACTCACACTGGCACTGTGTAAACATTGACTTGTCTTTCTGGCTGCTGTGTTTGTTTGGCAAGGAGACCGTCCTGCGGCAGTGAATGGAGTCTGGTCTGTTTACATTTGCCTTCCTTGGCTGGTTCTTCTCTGCCGGGGGAATTAACACACGCTGGCAACTATAGCCACATCTCTCTGATCTTTCCATTTAATTAGATGCATTTTAGTCTTTTCTTTGCTTTCATGTTTCATGGATTGTGAATGAGCATCTGGCTAATACAAAAAGACTTAAATGTATCCAGCCTTTAGACCAAGTTGGCTACAGATTTTCTTCAGTAAAGCTAAGCAATGTGACTTAAAAACAAACAAACAAAAACCAAATCAAAGCACTGAATCTGCTGTGATCTAACTGTAGGCTGCGTGCAGATGGGGGCACAGTGGGGAGGGAGGGGTACCATGTGGACTTCGGATTTTAGCACTGATCAGATGATGGCTTACCTTGAATTGTTGATTGTTTTTAAATTACCACATTATGAGCTGGCTTCCTCAAAATAGGTTACTTTATTATTATCATTATTGTTATTTTTAATTTACTATAGAGCATATATACTCAAGAGAGAGAGAGAAAGTGAGAAGGCAAACTGCCAGGATAAGGACTTGAACCACTGTTGGCCATGTGGGAGTTCCGTGCCTCAACCACCATGCCACCTGATGGTCCTGAAGGTTACTTAAATCTGTATTCTCATGAATAGTATTTTTTGTGCTCTAGTCCACCTGCTTTTGGCGATCAATAATGGAGGCATTATTAGCTTTTGGTCTTTGCCAAAAATATATAGGACAAATTGATATTTTGTTATGTTGTTACTTGTATTTCTTTAGTTCTAAGAGAGTTGATAGATATTTTCTGTCTGTTAGCGTTTGCTTTTTACTAAGCCTGATTCCTTGAACAAGATACTAATTTTGATTGTCTAAGCCTCACTTTCTCAATCTTGAATATACGGGTGATAGTACTACTTACCAAGAGAGATCACTAAAAGGATTAAATAAAGTAATGCCCATGGGCCAGCAGCTGGCATAGTGGTTAAAGGCTCTGGACTCCCACATGGCCGACCACGATTCAAGTCCCGGACCTGGTGGCTTGCTTTCTCACTTTCCCTCTTTCTCTCTCATTCTGTCTCTCTCTGGTCAAATTAAAAATAAATAAATGAATGAATAAGTAAATAAAATAAAGTTAAAAATAAAATAATTCTTAAAAAATTAAAGTGATGCCCATAGGGGGGGGGTACCTGGCACATAGTAGGCACTAAGTTAATGCTGGCTGAATTGTTCTCTTCACAGTGAGTCAGAAATCCTGCACCACGAGAAGCAGTACGAGCCATTCTACTCATCTTTTGTTGCACTTTCCACACACTATATCACAACAGTTTGCAGCCTCAGTAAGTAAGCCATTCTCGTTGCTCCCCTTCGAGGGCTCGTGAATAGGTGGATTGTTTATCCTCTTGTTAGAGTGAGCGACTGAACAAGTTGTTAATGAAGTCTGTGTTTAGCACTTCGAAGCTGTTCACCCGAGAGTGGAGACAGTTGTCAGCTATGATGAAGTTCCCGAGGTTCCCTTACTTAGGTCAACCAAGTGGGATTTTAGAACGACTGGGCATGGAGACCTGCTTTATGAACATTAAGTCAGCCTCCCCTCCCCTCTTAATCAAAAGCATTTTATTGATTCTACACATGTAATTACTGTGTGTTAATTTCTTGGGTGGGAGGGCGTACTGGATACTTACTTCTGGGGTTAACAGCCACTAACTGACCAAGACTCAGTTCCTTATTTAGCTTTATTTTGGAGAGGTTTTTGCTATAGGGCACATGCACTTGCTGGGAAGACAGACAGAGAGACAGAAGGCAAGAAATCACCCCTCAGGGGAGATGGCCACGCCACAATCCCTTCTCCATTTTCCTCTTGGAATCTTGGGCACGCATGCACATGCACCCAGCATGAGTTTAAGCCTCTAGGTCCAGGACTTGAACTGCGATCGACTACATGGCAGTCCAGCAACATAGCCATTACACTAACTGCTGGTCCCTCCTTATTTAGTTTTGATGAGAATGTATATTTCACTTTTGTGTTCCCTGGTAATAAAGGAATTTGTACTTTATTTTCCATATTCTTTATTTTTCTACCCTAAAAGTGACCAAGCCCTATTTCACGTTATGTTCTAATTTTTGCATTTTCCATTTATTCTTATTATTTTGAGTTTTTACCATAGGGCATGTGACCTTGCTGGAGAGAGACAGGCAAAGAGAGAAATAACCTCCCGGTGTGTGTGTGGGGGTGTGGGAATGCCTTCTCCATTCTCCTCCTGAGATTTTGGGCACACATGCACATGTTCCCGGCATGATTCTCCAGCCATCTGGTCCGAGACTTGAACTGCGTTTGGCCATGTGGGACTCTAGCGTCTTAACCATCATACCACCTGCTGGCCCGTTCAGTTTATTTTTTTATCCTAACACAATAGTTCTGAAAAATTCTAATTTATTTTCTTGTAAACTGAAGGGAAACTATAGAGTTGTTTAATAATTTTTCAGTGTTCAGTGCTATTTATTATATTCAGTTGTTAGGAAAGTTATAACGTATTTTTGCATAGAAAAAAATTCATGATTTTTCTGACAACTCAATAAATATGGCTATGGGTAGAAGCATAATTTTTGGCTTGATGAAAGTTTTTGTAGGAAGCTCTTTTCTACGCTCCTCTTAGAAACAATGGGAAAAGAGGTAGTATAGCCAGTGCTTAAGAGCATGAAGTCTCGAGGTAGGTTGCCTGGATTTGAATCTAGCTATGTGACTTGGGGCCACGTCATTTAACTACTCTGTACTTAGTTTGGTCATCTGTTAAAAATGGAACAGGAGGTACCAGCAGTTGGCATAATGGTTATATCACTGGACTTCCACATAGTTGACTACAGTTCAAGTCCTGGACCCGGAGGATTAAAACTCATGCTGGATGCATGTGTGCGTGCCCGAAATCCCAAGAGGAGAGTGGAGGAAAAGGGATTGCAGCATGGCCATTCCCTGTGGGGTGATTTCTCACTTTCTGTCTCTCTGTCTCTGTCTCTCTTTGGTGAGCGCAAGTGCAAAACTCTCTCTTAAAAAAATGGTTTGAACATTAAATGAGTTAATATATCAAAGAGCTTGAAACTTCATGTGATATATTTCCTATTATAGTTATCTTTTTTTTTTTTTTAAGAATTATTTTATTGGGAACCAGCAGTTAGCGTAATGGCTATGTCGCTGGACTCCCACGTAGTTGACCGCAGTTCGTGTCCCGGACCCGGTGGCTTAGAACTCACGCCAGGCGTGTGTGCGTGCGTGCCCAGGATCCCGAGAGGAGAATGGAGGAGAAGGGTTTGCGGCGCGACCATCCCCCCTGGGGGGTGATTTCTCGCTTTTTGTCTCTATGTCTTTCTCTGTCTGTCTGGCAAGCGCACGCGCCCTATAGCGAAAACCTCTCAAAAAAAATAAAAGAATTATTTTATTTAACTTTATTTATTTACTTACTTGTTTTAATTTGGCCAGAAAGGGACAGAGTGAGAAAACAAGAGAGGGAAAGTGAAAAAGCAAGCCTCCAGGTCTGGGACTCTAACCATGGTTGGCTGTGTGAGTCCAGCGCCCTTAACACCATGCCACCTGCCAGCCCCACTATGATAGTTATCTTAGTTTCCAGTAAGTATGAGATAAACTGATCTGTAAACATTTGATGGGTATCAGTGCCAAAATACCTTTGTTGGCCCCTTGGGTTATTATATAATATATAATGACATAATACTATATATATGAATAATACATATTACCATAGAATGCTATTGGGAATGTTGGGGAGGTCACTGCTTGTTTAGCATGGTTTGTTGACTAGGAGGCTGAGCAGTCTGAGATTAACAAAGTTCATTTCTTTCTCAGTTCCCCGAAACCAGCTTCAGTCGGTGGCTGCAGCCTGCAAAGTCCTCATAGAGTTTTCTCTCTTGCGTCTGGAGAATCCAGATGAGGCTTGTGCTGTGTCCCAGGTGAGAGGGGTGGAGCATTTCTGGCTCTTACTTTGAAGCAGGATTATGGCTGACGATTGTTACTGATGGAGAAGGGATGACAGAGAGCAGAGACTGGCAGTTTTTCTGTAATGGATCAGATCGTTAAGCATTTGTGAGCAATGTGATAGCTGTTGCAGCTAGTCAGCTCTGCCTTTGAGGTTTGAAGACAGCCATAGACATCATGTCAATGAACGAATGTGTCTGTGTTCCAGTAAACTTTAGTTAAAAAACTAGGCAGGAGTTGAATTGGCTGTAGTTTGCCAACCTCTGATAATGGGATTGTGGTGCTTTTTTCAAGGATTACATAGTCACACACCTACAGATGCCAGGCAGGTAACATAAAATAATGAAGTGTGCTGGTCGAGAAGGTTGCAGGCCTCAGTCAAAGGGGCCAGTCACTATTCGGTCCAGCTGGGTTATTGGT